ACACACACACACACTCACACTCACTCACACACACACACACACACACACACACTCACACAGAGGCCAGTTATCTTACATTAGCAGTATAAGAGCAGGCATTTCGTTCATCTGTCGTTCACAGAGGATTCAGTGAGAGTGATTTCAACAACACACACAGACACTGAACGAGACAATAACAGGAGACACAACACAAGATCTGTGAGCGTGACTGCATAAACTCAAGCAAACTGACAAAAGCATGATGGGAAACGACATCGCACCTGACCCTCAAGTGACATTTTGTTCGAAATTGTTAAATGTGATTCTGTTAACTTGTTTCACCACACATTCATTGCTTAGCATTTTTGTCTTGCGTTTCGGTGCAAATTTATCTAAACATTATTAAATCAAGAGAAGCAAAATAGCTTCAAATATTTAGTTTTTTTTTTCTGAAATATGCTTAAAACTATAAAAAAATATATTGGTAAGAGGGGTAAGAAACTTATTGTTTGAATTAAAAACTCACTTTTGATTTAGAAAACAATAGGCTACTTAATATCATGAATCCGCAGCAGTTCTCTAACTATCTTCAGTTCTTCTGTTTGTGTGTTTTTATGAGTCTGTCATGCTGAAGTTCATTCATGTCTGGTATTTTGAAGAGTTCTTGTCAGTTTTTGTTGATCCCTCCTCCTATTATCTTTCTGCATAAATAAATCTAGCGTTTCATTGTATCTTGTATGGTCCAAAAGACGTATGTGTGCAAATCTTATTGGGACACAAGTTCTTCTAGTACAGTAACTTCTCATATAAGTGTTTCTGCATACACACAGTGTGTTTCAAGAAAACAATAAACAACAGGTTAGGCCTCACTGTAGCAGTTCTGGGCGCTACATGTGGGTTGTGGTCGCAAATAGTCACTAACTCGTCGCCACCTCCTGGTGTAATGATGAAACTGCAACTTTGAGCGTTGAACGATTTTGCATTTGATTTTTTAATTAATTAACGTGTTTATTAACTTTTTTTTAAACTTTGCATCACTGTAGCAGTTCTGGGCGCTACATGTGGGTTGTGGTCGCAAATAGTCACTAACTCGTCGCCACCTCCTGGTGTAATGATGAAACTGCAACTTTGAGCGTCGAACGATTTTGCATTTGATTTTTTAATTAATTAACGTGTTTATTAACTTTTTTTTAACTTTGCATTATAAAGATTTTAATCAGAACTAAAATAGCCCCACTAACTGATAGCCTCCTCACATTTACATGACAGATTCTTCGCTTCAAAGTGACTCCAGTCATTCATCATTTATATATAGGCTACCTGGGGATCAAACCCACGACCTCGGAATGACTAGAATCACATCGGACCAGTTACAGGGTCGTTACCTGCTGATTTCTCACACAACCGCGGGCCTGAGACTGAAATTATGTTGTTCTGAGAAACTCGGAATGTGTCTCAACCTGCAGACCGAAGCCCTCGCTTCACACCGAGATTCCTGCGCTGTGATTGGCTGAGAGAGAGGACAGCGGCTGCGGCAGCCAATCAGAACGCAGCGCCTCAGGTGCCTCCATCAGCGGCCCCTGGAACTCAAACGCGGGGAGATCAACAATATTAGATAAAACAACTGATGAATAAAACATAAAGAAAGACAGACGACGGGAGTTGAGCAGCACAGGTAGGAATCTAAAAGAGAATTTGGCTGCACTAGTAGATGAAAACTTGAACTGAAAGTTTAATTTTGTGATTTTAAACTTAAATTAAATACCTATCTTTTATTTTCTAGTTTAACAGAAATGCATCTGTAAAAGAACTGATCTGTAAGAAACTAATCAAACACGATAACTATTTAATCTCCAAAAAATATATCAATATTTGGCTATCACATCCACATAGAAACTCCCAGCAATGATTATAGATTAGGAGAGACTTCTTTTCTAAATCGTCTCAATTCAGTTTTGAAGTGCAATAGCATTACTGTTGTGTATGCATATTAGCACATACATTTTCTACAACATTGCGTTAAATTAAAATTAACTGCATAGAGTTAGCATTAACGAGATCGCTGTTGGATATGTCAATATTTCGGTCGCGCGACTATAATTGCAATTTATGTATTTATTGTTTGTATTAGGCCTATTATTTCTTGTTCTTTTTCTGCATCAGCTGCATTTTGAAGTCTATGAGCTCTGTGTTTCTGTGCATTAGAACTGATGCAGCAGACTGTGTGTGATGAACAGTGCACAGTCGCGCGCTGGAGAAACACACCTACGGCCTCGAGGTACTCACGCGTTTGACTTATTCACTTTGCCGGTCCCACTTTATATTAAGTGTCCCTAATACCTGCGTACTTACATAGTAACTACATGTGTACGTAGTATGTAACCACAGTGTAAGTACACATTGGTGCATAGTATCTAGAGCTGTAACATTTCTGTAACTACACACATGTAACAACCCTCAGGATGGTATGTGTAAATACAAATGTGTAACAGGACATTGGTAACAACACTTTTTTCACTTCACTAAGTACTCATGTAACAGGAATTATATAACTACATTTTGTAACAACATGTATAAGAATAATTGGAACAATTTGATCCAGCGGGTGGAGATGGGTAGGTTTAGGGATATGTAAAGTGGGAGGAGTTGGATCTCAAGTTGGTGGAGTTGGTGCACCACTGTAATACCAGTGTACTTACATGGTAACTCCTCAGGAACTGGCCACTTAATATGAAGTGTAACATTCTGGACACCAACCAAAATTTATATGTAAAGCCTAACTTACTGGCCGCTGCTGTGTAACATCAGAGTAATTACATGGTAAATACATAGGAATCGTTTACTTAATATAAAGTGTAACACTTTCTTTACCAAAAAGTGCTGTTAGTCCTGTTACACATTTGTACTTTCATTTCCAAAAAGTGTTGTTACCAATGTCCTGTTACACATTTGTACTTACACATACCATTCAGTAGGTTGTTACATGTGTGTAGTTACACAAACATTACAGCTGTAGATACTATGTAACAATGTGCACTTACACTGTGGTTACATACTATGTACACATCTAGTTACAATGTAAGTACACACTTAATATAAAGTGGGACCGATGAGTTTGTTTCTGCATCAGATTTGGAGAAATGCAGCACTGCATCAGTGTCTCAGCAATGGATGCTCTGTAGTGAATGGGTGCCGTCAGAATGAGAGTCCAAACAGCTGATAAAAACATCACAATAATCCACAAGTAATCCACAGCACTCCAGTCCATCAGTTAACATCTGGAGAAGACAAAAGCTGAAACAAATCCAGCATTAAGACGCTTTTAACTAAAATACAAGTCCATAATCCATAATAACGCTTCCTCCAGTGAAAAAGTGTTCTGGTCTGAATCAGGAGAGAAATCTGCACAGATCAAGCAGCGTTTAAACAGCTCGAAACAAATATGTGGCTGGATTTAGATTTTAGTTAAAAACGTCTTAATGCTGGATTAGTTTCAGCTTTTGTCTTCTCCAGATGTTAACTGATGGACTGGAGTGCTGTGGATTATTGTGATGTTTTTATCAGCTGTTTGGACTCTCATTCTGACGGCACCCATTCACTACAGAGCATCCATTGCTGAGACACTGATGCAATGCTACATTTCTACAAACCTGACGAAGAAACAAACTCATCCTGATCTTGGATGGCTTCAGGGTGAGGACATTTTCAGCACATTTTTATTTTTGTGTGAACTACTCTTTTAAATAGTGAAATGCTGTGTGTGTGTGTGTGTGTGTGTGTGTAGGGTCTCCTATTAGTAACAGAAGATGATCTTAGACTGATGGGAGTTGAAGATCCGGATCACAGAACAACCATCATAAATCAACTACAGAAACAGCAGCAGAGAATACAGCCTGAGAAAGGTGAACACACACACACACACACACACACACACACACACACAGAGAGAGAGAGATAAATGAAAGTGACTCTTCACTGTGTCCTCACACGTCATTCTGGCTGATATCACACTCTCTGTCTCCTCAGAGAGTAACGCTGCAGTAACGACTGGCACTATGAGCCGTAAGCTCTCTCTGGCCTCATCTCTTGACCTGGTCAAACCCACCACTGACCTCTTCCGTCACAACATTGTGCCACGGCTGCGTCGCCATGACAACCACAGAGTCTCCGCCTCCTGCCTCCAGCTCCCATCCCACACCTGTGATGAAGACCACGCCCCCGCCACCAAACACAAACTCAGGTTCCCTTATGAACATATTTAATCCATCCTTATCATTGATTAATTACATTGACACTACCCAAGTGCCAAATGCAAGTAAAACTGGCTTTGGTGAGTAAAATATTCATTTGTAAATGACAGCATGGTTTGCATGCATGGAATGTGTTGAATTGTAGTTAAACAGCAATGATTAGACCTTTATTTGAATGCCGTCATGAGTTATCTGTGTCACCAACAATGCAGTATAATATAATCGAATATAATATGCAAATACCAATCATGAAGGCAGTTATGTTGTTAATCTCAGATTTCTGGGGCCACGACAAAACTAAGCCTTTCTTATGTTGGTTTCAAACCCCTATTCAAGACGGTCTTAATTAGCATATTCTAATGAATTCTGTCATCCAAACTAAAATTCAATATAATAACACAATAACTAAACAATTGTTAAACAATGAAGTGTTCAACCGAGTGCATAAGACGGGAGTACTTTTCAAAAAAAATGTAATGCGTTTTTGCTGAATTATCCCTGAATTGTTTTGTTTGCATTTTGCTGCACTGTGACAACTTACCCCACACACTGTATCCTTCAATAGCATAAAAAAATGTTCAAACGTTTTATTGCATTTACTTTCAAAAGTTTATTTTGAAGGTATTTGCTTTATAAAAAAAATAAAAAATAAAAATCCCCGAGAAATACTCATTTGAGAAAAACGTGTGACAACATGCCCCGGTCTGCCCTATAAAAGTACAGGGAGGCCTAGAGTTATAACATGCGTTAATTTTCCTCTGCCTCTCATATTCTTTCGTCATTTTAAGAGCAACATGTCTCAGCTCACACTGTGGATTCTTCCATGTGAACGCGGCGTCTTGCGCAACTGGTTAAACGCAGCTAAACGGGGCGTCGGCGGATCAAGCCGGCACAGGTCTCTCTCTCTC